GTCAGCGGGAGTTCATGGCGAATGTCATCCGCGAGGTGCGCCAGGCTGCTGGGGATCTTCCTGGGCTGGACGAAGCACTTGGTGAAGCCGCCACCGCCACCCGCCCTCGTCGTGAGCGTCGGAAGAAGGGTGGCGACTCGGGCGAAAATACGCCGCAGCCTTCGCAGCCGCGCAGAAGGGTCACACAGCCGAACGGAAAGAGCTTTGTGGTTGATCCCGCCAGCGGAGACGTGTTTTTGCTGAACGGGGCTGAAGATGGCGTTGAGGAGTTGCTGCTAGACCCCGGCGAGATCCGCGCTCCTAAGTGGAGCGATACTTTGCTCTTTGGGCTGCCGCGCGGAATCTGGAATCTCACGCTTGGACGCTTCCTTGGGAAGAAGGCTGCCGGCGAGGAGGAGGTGGACGAGGAGGAGGAGGAGGTCGTCAAGGAGGCTGCTCCGGCTGCTACCCAGAAGCCTAAGAAGAAGGGTGCGCCTGCGAAAGTTGTCCGTGCTGGTGAGGGATTGCCGAGGAGACGGACCAAGGCACGTCCTGGTAAGGCGCTGTAATAGTTAGGGGGTTGGTTTCTATAGAGTTTTTATTCAAACAAATTTTTGGTTTTGGGCGGTAAAATGAAAAGGGCAAAGCTCGAGGTGAAAGAACTACTAGCCAATAACTTCTTTGGAGTGATGGCTGTCGCTGTCATTTCTCTGCTGCGGATTTGCAGAAGCAGAATGGCCGGCGACGGCATGTGGTGTGCTAGTAGTAGGTATCCAGATAATACAGCGCGCAGTGCTGGGATAGGCCTCTCTGCCAGTCGAATAGATTCGACTTCAGCATTTCGAGTGATACACAGTGATGATTGAATCACTATTCTGTGAGCACCCCTACAACTCCATGCACAGTAGCACCACACTCTCCGAAATGTTTCGATGTTTCTTCCCGTCTCCAGTCTTCGTCTTGAACTTTGACAGGCTACATCGACTGCCTCGTCGGGTGTAGAGTGATGGTATGGAGGACAATAATGATTGACTCCGGTGAGTCAACACCATATTTTCATACTTTGACCCCTCTTATGCTTCGGTGACTCGGATTAAACTTTTACAGAACAGAAACCAGCTATATAAACCGCGGACCCATTTCCGACAACGACGGTTGCTCCACGCAGTGGGTCCTCAAAGACAGTTGGCAGTGGGAGACCACGAGGCAAAGCGAAGGAGAACTTCTGGCCCAATATTCGTCCCTTGGCATCGCCGGCGTGGCCAAATGCTACAGCCACGATGTCGTGGAAGACATCCACGGCATCCTTGGGCCGGAGGTCCTGGACTCAGCGCGCCCTCTTGATCTGCCGTGGAAATCGAACAAGCGCCCGTACCCGTACAACGCACCGACCACGAACACTGGGAACGAGCGCCCTTCGAAGCGAAGCAGGGCCATCTCCTTCCCTCCACATCAGATCATTTCCACGTCTTCGATTTCCAGTTACTACCACTACATCAAAACAATGCCCTCCACTACCACCACCCCCGAGTTCGAGTTCCGCAACTCGGCCGAATTCCACTACGCCCAGTTCCGTGCCGGCAGTGTCAACCCGTACGATGACGCCTACCGAAACACTCACGAGTACTACATCGGCCCGAAGCCGATGAAGAAGAAGGGATCGAGGATCGAGAGGGTTTTTAGAAGGATTGCGCAGAGGATGGAGTAGTAGTGTATGTATGCTCGTGGGGGTTTTTGAGAGTTGGAGTTGCTGATAATGTTGGGTAGGATAAACTCATACACTCTCACTCGGTAAAGAAGACTTTTTGTTTTTTTTTTACGGAAATTATGCAGAATACCCCCCGTGGGTGACAAAATTTATAGGATACCCCTCGATCTGAAATTCTATGCAGCATGCCCCCAATTCGCGCATGCTGTTTATGCAACATACCCCCACAACAATCAGTATTATGCAGGATACCCCAGCGCAAAAAAAAAGGCAATCAGAACACGGTTGGCGGGGGTCACGAGTACAAATCCAATCAAGAAAGGTCTCCGAAATTGATATCTGCTGTCGCCATGACTGTCACTGTGAGAGACGCTTGAAAAGCGTGGCTGCGTGTTGAGTTCCTGCACGTATGTATTTGGAGCCGTTAACTAACCAACAACACCCCGCTTGCAGCAATGCAGGACCCTTTGAACTTAATAAAATAATGCAACCCGCTTCCACTAGAGTTCTTTTCCCTTTGCTTGTTCAAAAAATTTCAGACTACAGATTATCCGCAAACTTAGGCGGGCTGAAAGTCAAAATCAACGACATATCCTACATTTTTCGCCCGGAGCCGAGCCTGAAATTTTAGTGCTGTAGCCTGAATCCAAGCAAAGGGATCAGATTCTGACCTTCGAACAGCTTTCGTCGTGGCCATTTCACGGGTTTTCTTTTGGGCTCCAATTTATACACGATTTTCTGTCGCGCCAAGAAATTCACGGATCGCATCATCAACCAACTCTCCCCACGATTCTACTGTTGTCACAATCACTACCAGAAAATCAATGACATTAATCAATTCCATGAGGCCGATTTAACTTGTCCTGGGTTTTCACACTCTCTATTTGTGCTTTGGTGGCTGTTTATCTGGGTGAGGGTATCCTGCATAATGCTGATTGTTGTGGGGGTATATTGCATAAACAGCATGCGCGAATTGGGGGCATGCTGCATAGAATTTCAGATCGAGGGGTATCCTACAAATTTTGTCACCCACGGGGGGTATTCTGCATAATTTCCGTTTTTTTTAAGTCCCAATGTTTGTCGAAAAAAAAAAGGTTTTTGGTGTTTGGATGGCTAACAGATTTCATAGATGTCGCTCGAGCGAGAAGGCGTTGTTTAACACCGAGCGAACAAGTTCTTCGCGGCACAGGGAGGAGCGATGGAAGTGTGGTTTGCTTTGCGTGTGTTGGTGATTCTGGCTAATAGCGGTGGATGCGAACTTTTTTTTTTTTATCGCTGGCCAAATGTTAAGCTTCATGACTCTTCAACTGCGGTGCTTATAGCTCGAGAGGCTGCGTGAAGAGGATGACGAGCGGACCCAGCACGAGCTGGCAAGAGGTTGGCTTTTCTTTCGGAGATTAACGTACTAGTATTTGGCTTTTGTTTGGCTTTTGCTTTGTGTTCAAGTTCGTGGGTGTACCTACCAGTGTTTGGCTTTTGTTTTTTTGTGTTCGTGGGTGTGGTACTATGAATACTGCATTTTACAACCAAGGTCGTGCAGAATACTGCATCGGGCGCAGTCAGTGTTTCACTCGCCGCCACCAAGCGGGTGCCAAGGGACGGAAAATCACGTTTGGCGGAACACACAATAAAGCGAACTCGTGAGATAGCAAAAGATAAGATCAAACTAAATCTTGTTGGTGCAAGTGATTTACGGTGATGCAGTGACCCCACCAGCGCGATGCAACCCGGGTCCTCGAGATAACAAGACAGCGAGTGCATGAAAAGGTAAGGAACACGAGGAGAGTGTAGCTAAACAGAGGAACGAGCAGTTTTCTATGGAGAAAGGAGAAACAGGAGCCTCCAAAAAGGCCGCTGGCAAGGAGATATAGATCTACCCGTGATGAAGGTGAAGGAAGTGAAGCTGGAACCACAGAAAGCAGCCAAAAAAATGCGAAGAAACAGGCACACGACTCAAACAAATGAATTCGTATTTAGAAGGAAGTCCTTTTCTATATGTAGTAGAACTCATTTGAGGCCTGGGCTGTCGAGGTTTCAAGATTTTGTCTATTGATCCGAGACAAACCACAGTGTGTCACTCGACCACCAACCTTTTCGCAAAAACGGAAATCCACACACATCGAGGGATATCCATATTTCCGGCCAGTCCCCAAAACGGAGCCGCCAATATTTTCCGAAGTCCACCTTGCCGCAGGTAGAGTAGATTTAACTAGAAGTCTATACCCAACGTAAGCCGCACAAGCTAAAAGGCGCCGCGTGCGGCCAACAAGCCTCGGCATCTCGGCCCCAGATTTCTGTGCAACGTCCACAACGGGGCACCTAAATAAATACAGAGCAATCAGCACCGCACATATCCAACAAGCACAAGTAGCAGCAGCCATGGACGTATCAAACCTGTAAGCACACCACCTCACCCGCCAAACCAAAAAAAAAAAAACAAAAAAAAACAACAACGCTAACGCAACCCCAGCTTCTCAGTAAAAGACAAAGTGGTGCTCGTAACCGGCGGCGCGAAAGGCATCGGGCTGATGATCTCGTCCGGCTTCGTCGCCGCCGGCGCGCGCGTCTACATCTCGTCGCGCGACGGCGCCGCGTGCGAGAGCGCGGCCGCGGCGCTGAGCGCGCAAGGGCCCGGCAAAGCCGTCGCGCTGCCCTGCGACCTGCAGCAGCTGGACTCGATCGCGGCGCTGGCGGCGGCGCTCTCGGCGCGCGAAACCGCACTGCACGTGCTGGTCAACAACTCGGGCGCGAACTGGGGCGAGAGCTACGACACCTACCCGGACGCGGCGTTCAGCAAGGTGCTGACGCTGAACCTGCAGCGCGTGTTCACGCTGACGCAGGCGCTGACGCCGCTGCTCGTGGCCGCGTCGCGGCCGCCGCTGGACCCCGCCCGCGTGATCCACATCGGCTCCATCGACGGCTTGCGCGTCCCCGCCCTCGAGACGTATGCGTATTCCGCCTCCAAGGCCGGATTGCACCATCTGAGCCGCGTGTTCAGCTCGCATCTCGGCAGGCGTGGTATCACTAGCAATGTCCTTGCCTGCGGCCCGTTCGAGAGCAAGATGATGAAGGCCACGTTGGAGAGGTTTAAGGACAAGATTGAGGCGGGCGTGCCCTTGGGCAGGATCGGCACGCCGGAGGATGTGGCCGGTGCGTGCATCTTTTTGGCGAGTAGGGCCGGCGCCTATATCAATGGCGCCACCATCACGGTAGATGGTGGGAGCCATTGTGCGGCGAAGTTGTAGAAACGGTAGATATACCACCTGGTGCATTTTTGTGGAATGGGAATCAAAAAAGAAAAAAAAAATACTGTTGACGAGAGTGGGATTTGAACCCACGCCATTTCTGACTGGTGAATTGGGACAAACTGCTCCTTTTCCATAAGGAAAGGAGAGGAACCTAAAACCAGCGCCTTAGACCACTCGGCCATCTCGCCGTCTGTGTTTCTTTTCTCTTTAAATGTATTTTGTGTCACGTGTGAGTGGGATGACCCCATATCTACACCCACAAAAAACTCGCCAAAATAGCATCAGCCTCTTCTGGCTCCGCCACCTTCACCGAGAGAGGAGTGCGAATACTTTTCGTACTTTCGATGCAGTCAAGTAGCCACCAGTCGTTGTCGATAGGGAAGTTAAAAACCAGAATACGAGTACCACTGTGATCCAAGAGTGACACATGATTTAAACAGTGTCAAGAATATGAAAACCCAAACAATCCCATTTGCCTATGCACAGTGGAGATATGGTAGAATACACAGAAACCCAGACTATGATACAACGCCCAAACACCTTTTGCCCTTGCCCCCCCCCCCCCCTCCCCTTTAGTCAAATACCTGGAGCATACGGAAGGCGGGATTGCCAATCGACTTCTTAACGACCGCCAAGGGATCGATTTCCTTCTTGACTTTCGTCGTCGTGATCGTAATCTCTCCGTCATCGTCAACAGTAACCACCTCCACCTCTTCCTCCTGCTCCCCAATGTCGCCGGTGTCAAGGAACACCTTCAGCATGCCCTGGGAGTAGCCACTAACCAGCGCCGTGCCGGGGACCTCACCAGTAACCGGCTTAGGCGCGGGACCGCCATCCCTTCCTCCAGCCAGGTTCCAATACACCATTTCGGGGAGCTCGTAACCAGCCTCCTCGAATTTGCGCTTGATGCGTTGGTGGTTTGTTTCATCCCAATGGAAAGGCGAGGACAGCGATATCCGGTGGACCGGTGCCGGGTCGAACTGCATATCGGAGAAGACGAAGATGCGCTTGACCATTTGCTCCGGCGGGATTTTGTTATTGACAGCCATCGGGAGGATGAGTTTTTCGAACACCGAGTTGAAGTCTGTTGTCATTGCCCAGTTGGCCTGCTCCATCTCTTTGACAAGCGCGCGGAGTCCCTTTCGAGGGTCTAGCTTGACGATTTCTGGGTTATGCGAGAACGTGATGAAGGCGTTGTCGAATGGGGGCTTTGCAACCTGTGCGATGAGAAGGCCCAAACCGACAGCCGTGTGCATTGGGGCGGTTCCGTCAGAGAACGTAGGTCCGAACATGGAACCGGATACATCCACAACGGCGATCGCGTTCTCCAAGGTGCCGGAATCGCGGATTCTCTGCACTAGCGTGTTCCATTGTGCATCTACGACTTTGCTTTCCAGCTCGGTGATCTTGTGCTTTACATATTGGTCGACCTCACTCTTGGTTGGGGGGTGTTCCCGGTCCAAGCCTGTGATTATACAATCAGAGTTGCTGTCAAAGGCTTGTTTGACGAGCGTAGAAGGCAACATCACGGCACCGGAGATTTTGGTCTTTCCTGAAGCCACATCGGATAGATATTTCTCAAAACGCTCCAGATCCTTGACAGCGAAGAGGGTCTTGTATCGGTCCATGGCGAGGGATGGGACGCGGTTGTAGTAAATCTCCTGGAAACGCTTCGCAGCTATCTTGACCTCCACCACATCAATTGCACTCCGGAGGGCCGAAATATGCTTGCGATAGTTTTGACGCGCGTGCTTCAGGTACACCTCCCTCGGCTGCTTTTCCTGGCTGACGGACTCCGGAGTGAACATGAGTTCCGCCATAGTGGAGGTAATCCACGTAGCACGGTCATGCATCTTCTCGAGTGACGGAGCCCACTTGGAAGCGAGGGAGAAGGTCGCCGAGTCCCTCTCCGAGGCGGCCAATTTCTCTTCATCCCGTTTGATCTCCTGGACGAAGATACGTGCAACCGCTAGGTGGAGAGCACGATAGAATGGATCTTCGTTGAGCTTTTTGACCACGGCCGCGTGGTCAGCTACCTCTCTCTCATGCTTCTTTTTGGTGGCGTCCTCCTTCGCGATCGCCATGGCCGCTTCGTGCTTCGCGATGTTTTCCTGCCGCAGGCGCTCGCGCTCGTCTGGAGGTAGTGCCTTGCGCTCCTCCTTCTCGCGCCTCTTGGCATCCTGCCCAATGCGGGACTTGCGGTCGGACTTGCAGCCCCTCTTGCCCTTTAGGGGGGATTTTTCGGGCTTCTTCTTCTCCACCTTAGGCGTCCAGAGCACGGGCCGCGGGTCGATGTCGTATCGCAGCTGGTCCTTGGCAGCAAGCACAAGAAGGTTCAGCAGGTCGGCGTAGTACCCGTGCGATCCACCATCTTTGATGTCAAACCGCCTAACATCCATCTCATCCACCTCCTCAACATCTTTCATCTCCACCACAACCGCATCTCCCTCCTTCTGCTCCTCCTTCTTCTTGAGCTTCTTCTCCACAACGGGTCTGACGATCCATTCCAGGTTTCCCAAGAAGGTGAGTGGATGATGCTCCCGCAGCCATCCCATGCACCTGTAGAAGAGGTGCTTGTCGCTCTTTCCAGCATGTATCGACCGAGCCTGGAAAATAATCTTCAGAGTGTCGATCGGCGACTCATTCCAGGCTTTGGTGAGTAACTCGTCGAGGCGCTGGTTCGAAATGAGCTTTTCAAGTTCCACAAAGAGGTCCAGCAGGGGGAAGCCGGTGCCCTCGTGAGTCAGCGCTCCTTTGTCGGTATACATGAGGTTTCCGGGAAGGGTAGGCTCAGCCGACTTGAGAGCGTCCATGAATTCGTTCTTCGGGGTCTCCGTCGCAGTCGAAGCCGAAGCAGCCTTTTTGAGTGGAAGGGACTCGATATACTCCACAAAGGATTCACGGTCGTAGAATAGTTCCGGCATCTCAGGCAGCAGGACGGGGAATGAAGACATCAACGGGTGCGAGACATTCGCCTGCTTGTCGACGTCCATAGCGGTGTCGGTCGACATTCCCAAGATTCGCGTTAAGGACGAGGTTAAATTAGAGTAGGACGAAGATGTGACGAAGCGACGAACGGCGGTGGCAGTGGTGGTGGTGGTGTTGTTGTTGTTGTTGTTGTTGTTGTTGGTGATGATGGCAGTGGGTGTGAAGGGAAAGGGTCTAGGCGAGTGTGGGTGGTGGGCGAGGTATTTATGTGTCCCACGGAGGATCGATCCGGAGGGGCGCAGAGGACGATGAGCCATGTTGAGTTGCTGGGTGGCCTGCAAGGGGAAGCGGGGAGGATGAGGTGAGTCAGTCAGTCAAGTGAAAAGCTTCGATCTGCACAGCTTGTTTTTCTGGCTTTTCTCGCTCATCGAGCCAATTGCTCTGCACACGAGTAAACGCCTACATCATTGCTGTACCTACATCATCGCTGTGCCTACATCATCGTTTCAAACGGCAACCACATACGCTGGCAGCGAGCAGCCACTCTAAGCGGGCGCGTCCCAACCCAGGTACGCAGGGCTGCACCCCGCACTCTCGCTTGGCTCGATTTATCCTAGCCGAGGCGCACTAAAAGCTCAAATCCAAATCCAAATCCAAATCCAATTGGGCGGACAATACCGTATTCTTCCGGCACGATGAGAAATGCCGGCGCCGAAGTCAATCTTTTCTAAGTAGCAAACATGCTATGTATGGAAACATGACAACGCCAGCGAATCTTATGTGACGGCGACAACACGATCTAAGGAGGCGACAATGGCTGGGCGCGGTGTGGGGTCGCGGTATGGTTGGGGACACCTATGTACTCAACTCTAATTCTCACGGCTGCCTTGTGTCTCCGTCGTACCGCGACGTCTCCAGTGCCCGCCCCTCTTGGCCATCAATTAAGATTTGCTGGCGTTGTCATGTTTCCATACATAGTATGTTTGCTACTTAGAAAAGATTGACTTCGGCGCCGGCATTTCTCATCGTGCCGGAAGAATACGGTAGGTCACGACAAAGAACACGCCCAAAGGGAGGAGAGAGAGAGGGGAATCATCACATACGCTACTTAGATCTGCGATCGCCCCTCAGCCCACCAGTCGAGCGCCATCAGCCTCTCTTTGGCTTGCATGCTCATGCACAGAGCGGCATCTAAACGATTGATTCCCTCCTCCCTCATCAGCCCCAACGCCGCCAGCCCCAGGAACGAGTGCAGAATATCTGTCCATCAGCATCAATCAGCCCTGCCCAAAAACCAAAAACCCCCCAGACAAAAAAAACACAAACCTGGGAATCCGCCTGGCTGCGGCAGCTTCATGAATCCGCCGATCACGTGCTTTGTCTTTTCAAGCAAAAACCTGCGGTTGGCATTGACGTCGATGAGGTAGAGTTTTTTCAGAATCTGGGATGGTTGTGTGTCAACCTCTCCTGTGATGATCCGCGGCGAGGGGGAGAAAACAAACCTCCAAACTGGCGCCCACCCAGAAACTGTAGCACGTGTCCGCCTTCTTATTGCACCTTCCATGAAAGCCGCCCCATATCGGGCGTCCGTCTGCGCCTCTCTCGACCCGCATTGCCGCCTCCTTCTCCTCCTCCGTACCCGTCTCCAGGATCTCCTGCCAATCGTCTTCATCCATTCCGTCCTTCTCCTCAAACGGCACCTGGCGATGCACCAGCCATTTTGTGAGGCTGTCGACACTCTGCAGGCCGGAGGCGTCCAGGCGTCCCAACAAGCTCAGCGCCGCGATGGCACAGTAAGTCATTCCAGCTATCCGCAGTCAGCTTAACGTCCGGCGAAACAGCGGCAGAGCCTATACCGTGAGACTCTCCAAACGGTTTCTCGGATATCCCGCCATCATAGCTCTGCGAGCTCCTGATATACGCAACAGTCTTGTCGACATCAAAATCGGGGATATCAGGACATCCCATCCCCGCCTGACCACGCAGCATCCACCGGAGCGCAACCGCCATATACACGAACCTCATATCCGTCGTTCCGACCAGCGTTTCCGGCTCATCCTCTGTAGCGGGAAGTAAACACTCCCCAAAGCTACCATCCTCCCTCTGCAGCTTCGGCAAAAGTTGCAGTATCTCCCTCCTCTTAAGCCTCTCCAGTCCATCACCCAAATTGACCAACGTCGCAACCGCAAAAAAAGTAGCCGAAACATTCGGGGGATCCCATCTACTCGCCGATCCCAGATCGGCCGCAGGACTCCCCCTG